GGTACACATATGTACCAGAGAGTTGTATACACATATGTACCAGAAAGTTGTGTACAACATATGTACCTGAAGTGAACACATATGTACCAGAGGCCATGTTGAAACTGTAAGCGGTCCGGCGAGTGGAGGAAGTCACCGATGGTCGTCGTTGAACTGTGATTGTTGGGTGACAGTAAGAAAAACTTCTACTGTGCGGTGCTCTGGGTGTAGTCGACGGCGGACAACACAAACACAATGTTGATACTAAACACAGTATTCCTTACACGCACACTATACAAAGTAAGATACAGATAACAAGCCGTCAGTGTTGTAACCTGCGCTTCAATGAAAGCTTGGTGGTCGCTATGAAATCTAACTGTGTCTATGAATCGCCTCGATACCGATGACACCAGGTGTTCACGGAAAGGTAAGCGTATCCTGCTCCATCTGATGGAGAGTGGTTTGTCATTCTGAAAAGATGAAACTGACAGACGGTCAGTAACTGGCTATTTGTGACTAGCGGAGTATCTCAGATCATTGACAGTAACTGGTGCACATGTTCTATCAGTTATAGAACGAGGGTAGAACAACTACTAAAACGTTCACAAAAATATTGCGATATAACAGAAGATGATGTTTTGAACTAGTCTTGAATGACCTAGATTCGATGCTTCCTAGGTAGACTCTCTCACGGACGACTTCCAGATCATGAAATTTTAATGGATCCCATACAACCTTCAAAAAGTCATATGTGTGGAGACAAATGAAAGGCAAAAATACATCCTTCTGATTGTTACAAATTACCACTAGCAGAACGTATTATTTTGGGATAACTATTCATATTGTACGTTGCAACTAATGTGTTTTTAAATTATTGCTTATATTATGCAGCAATAAAAAAATTCTGATGTATTTGTATATCAGGGGAATTCTTGAACCAGTTCACGTACTTAAAATATCAAGTTATTGTTCCGTCAGAGAAGCCAGCCCTTAGCAAAAGCAATATGGACATATTTGAGAAAACACTATTGAAAATATGTTGCATTCCATCTGCCACATTGTGTCACTCTGGACCCAACACGTTACATTGTACTCAAACATCCCAGGCGTATTCAAGCATCTTTAATTGGTTTTGAATTGAAGAAACTCAGTTAACGAGAGCCTCTGGGGAGCATGCATCCACCAAATCGACACAAGCCAGCGTTTCTCTTCATGAACCGTCGTCTTGGCCTCTCCAAAGTTCGAGTCAGAGCCCACGTGGAACATGTAGAACTTTTCACGAAATGAGAAGTTGGACAATCCTAATTTTCGTCCAAACGTGAATTAACAGCTTTCTGACGCACTTCCTACATAATGTTCAGTCAAGAGCCCCAATTAAAGACAACCATCAGCGACTTTGTTGACGTTTGGAAGAGTTCGGTTCTTATTGCAGCAAGTATGGTGAGCCAGCAGGCTATTAATCATTCTTGATTGATTATGGGAAGCATAACGTATGCCTTTGTAGCAAGAGCAAGAAATCCAGAATTCACCAAGTGATGTGTTTGAATGTTTCACATTTTTACCATTCTCCTATTTCAGGGCTAACGCAGCCTCGCCAGGATATACGCATTTACAAGCTGTTGTGCTGACGTATACAAACGTGGTCGTATGTTACTGACGTTGTATGTTACTGGGAGGCTGCACTGGAAGTAGAAAAATACATTATCTGAGACTGGCCTGTTGTGAGCACTGTTCAAACGCCAACACTTAATAAGAAAAATCGCTGTTGCTGTGTCTGGTATGAGGTGGAGTGAGTGAGTGAGTTAAAATTTAAAGTCACTTTTGCAATATTTCAGCCATATCGTGACTAAAACAAGTTTATAGATTAACAATAAAGTAATGATAGATTGCATAAGTAAAATCCCGTCAACAAAGGACAGTAAAACAACTAGAACATCACAGATATAAATGTAAAACTAGCAAGGTATGAGGTGGAACTAGTGGACCGTCAATCAACGAAGTGTCGCATTGGGGCTATTACTTAGGACAAGCTTCGAAAGTTGTGCCTCTTGTTGCTTGTAATCACGTGACGTGGGAGTAGACCTATTTATGATCACTGGACTGCGTAACTGCGGTTTGTCGCATTATACACTCCCCTTACTAACACTGACTCAAGTCACTGACGACACCGCTGTATCAATACCTGGTTCCGCTGGTTAATGTACTCTCTCGAAGCGGGTACCTGGAACCGGAGTACGGTCAGTGTTTAGTTCCGCTGGAAGGAATATAATTGGTTCTCTGGAGGTACTTAACCGCTGATCGGTCAGTGCTTCAGTTCCGCTGGTTAATGTGACTGTCTGGAGCGGGTACCTGGAACCGCTGATCGGTGAGTGTTTAGTTCCGCTGGCGCGAATGCATCAACCGAGGTACCCGTTCCACTGATCGGTGGAAGCCAGTTCCGCTATAATGTAATTGGTCTGAGCGATACCGTGAAACCGGTGATCGGCAGAGCGTTTAGTTCCGCTGGTTACTGTACTGAGCTGAAAGCGTAACGGAACCGTGTGATCGCCCAGCGTTTAGTTCGCTGCTGGTTACCGTAAACAACGGAGCGGGCACCGGGGAATCGGAGATCGGGTGAGGTTTAGTTCCGCTGGTTAATGTACTCGTCTGGAGCGGGTACCTGGAACCGGTGGATCGGTGAATGCTTTATGTCCGCCGCTGACGTACCGTCCGGATGGCACCGGAACCTGCGGATCAGTGAGCGCTTTAGCCCTATGTTGGTTAATGTATCACTGTCTGGAGCGGACACCGGAAACGCATCTTACCAAAGCCGAAGCCCTGCTGGTTGAACGGAGCGTACCGGTCCGGTGATCTACGTTTGAATCTACGTATTTACGTACCGTCCGGAGCGGGCACCGAACCAGACTATGTCGAAGTCTCCGATGCATAATGTACCGGATGACACCTTCGAACCGCGACCGGCCTAAAATAGCCTGTCGGTTGTCGCGTAATGGTCTGGAGCGGCAGTAATTCAAACCGGTGATCATCGTAGTTTAGTTCCGGCGAGCCATGCACGAACGATGGATACCCGGAACCAGCATCATCAGTTGATTCGCCATAATGGCAATTGTTCGAGCGGGTACTTCGGGAACCACCTGACTGGTGAGTGCTTGAATCGCCAAGGTTGTGCCGGTCGGTTTACCGGAACCAGTGATTCGGTCAGCCGAACCCGCCAGCGAATAAACGGTCGAGCGGTACCTGGAACTCGCGATCGTCTGGTGTTTAGTTCCGGCGAACAATCGGTTTACTACCCGGTTCCGCATCGGCCCAGTTTAGCTTCCGCTGGTTATTGTGCTGTCCTGAGTGACACCGGGAACCGGTGGATTGGTCGGTTTGAAGTCCGTTGTTGTCGTATCGTCGATGATACCCGGAACCGTGATCCGAAAGATGATGCCGATACGACCACCACCTCGCCCTCCTGAACGCCGATACAGCCAACCAATTCCAGGAGGTTTAGTTCGATCAATGCAATGGCCTTTCATGATAGACTTGTATTGAAAATTTCAACACATCTGGCCATCGATGACCCGCATACGACCGGCGATGAACGAAAGCGAATCTGTTACCGCCAAGGCTGCCGGATGAACTACGATTGAGGCCGGATTTGCCGATGAAGGCCATCGCCGGAATACAGATGGAGAACCAGTAGTTATTCAAGTTCCGCCCAGAGCCGGCCAGTCGAGGAAACGTTCAATCGGGCATTTAGGTACGCAGTCAGAATGAAATATAATCCATCCGACTCCAGATAAACTGGCTTGTCTTTAATGGCGTTCAGGCCTTTGCCGCTCCAGGACTAAATACTTCCCACTCGTAATCGCCCAACATGATTCTGCAACATCAGCGAAATGCCGATCAGCACGAATGGCGAGAACGTCCAGCACCCGTCAGGATGCCCTTCCGTCAATGGCGTTTCGGATAACGAGACGTTAAATGGTTTACGCTTTGTACTACTGTTCACGCGCCTGTGGTTTTTGACTCCTTATGTCCAGCCATAAAATTAACGTCCTGCGCCGCGGAAACATGCTGCTTCGGTGCGCCATGGCATACCAGGAATCGTGACGCAGAGGCCGCACGTTGTGGTTTCACCATTTGAAAGTTCTTGCTGGTCCGAATTTGGCAGCGTTCTTTAGGACGCATCTGCTGCCCAGCGGCAGAGGGATATGTCTGGTCGATGAGTCTTACTCAGCCAGACGCGCCGGTGGACGTTCTCGGCGTATTTTCATCCTCAACATGTAAAACATACTAACAAATGGAGTCCATTGAGGATATGCCAACCATGTACGTCAGCCATGCAAACATGCACCACCAATTAAATCGGCTCAATAATTCCATGTTTCAACATTTTGCCGCGGGTTTTACATACGACATCCGCCTACGCATGCACACCATTACGTAAAGTTCGCACCGAGAGACGACAGGCTGTAAAATATCTTTACAACACACCACCACGAACTCGCAATAGAAATGCGCCCAGGCCTTACGGGCGTTATCAGGCGTCAACCTTGTGAGGGCGAACCACAAACAGGAACGAACGCCTGTTGTCGACCTGAAAACACTTTATCGCGTCCAGTGTTACCGGACCCGTGCCGCGCTATATCCCTTTTTGAGAATTTTCACCGATTATAAAGCAATAACCGCACGGAGATATGTAGACCCTTACAGAAAGCCAACGCCATTCATCTTTTTTATTTTCTAAACGGCATCCACGGTTTAAGATATCCCGCCCGCCGATCGATTTGTAGCTGCATTTTACTTGTTCCAAACTGGTTTTAAAATGTTCAAAACCCCGGCAGTTAACCACCGCATCAGAAAATAAACTTTGCAACATTCTGACACCTCACCCGGACGAAAAACTGGAAAATGAAATAATTTGATCAACGAAACATTAAACCCAGGCTAGGGTTATCATCATCTGCGGATCGGCATATGCATTAGGACCGTTTACGAAGCAAAGATCACCCGTATCCTCACTTGCTCACAGCGCCATCCCACCTGATGGAAATAAAAGTGAAAACATGCATCACAAACTCTACCGCTGACGGTTCTCGACGCTCGACCGGGCGGGCGCAAAACGTAATTTGGCGAAAAGCAGTTCTTCACCGGAAGGTTGCCAAAGCCGTGATAATGAAGCCGCCGCAGCCCAACCCGGTAAGCTTTCGAGGTTGGATATACGCACCCTGGGCCGCAAGCGGTCCGTTTTATGCGGAAGTTTCCCACGCCATCGTATCTCGACCTGCCAGTGGTTGCCCAATCAAACGGATAGTCTGGACTATAGCGCAAACATTAACATATTGAGTAGACGACCGATTGAGCGTTTGACGGAAATGGGGTTCCCGGTAACGTCGGCATTAACGAAAATGCATGTTCAAATAGACCCTTTAAAGACGGCAACATCCGACGCGCTGGGCGTGTTCTAAACGCATAATGGCTTTTGTGCTGAACTGAAAGCCGTGCACGATGGCAACAGCCCAAATCGAAGGGCCCGTTTACGCTGGTCGGATATGATTCTGAAATGATGGGGGACTCTCCCATCCCACTGTTTGAGTCCCAGTGAGGCCCATGATGGAGGCAGCTGAAATCACAGCTCCACAACATGGAGAATGGAAATGGAGAAGGAAGCCAACACACAGCCACACAAAGACAGAAGGAACACAGAAAAACAGAGACCAGGAAAGATGGAAGACGAAAGGAAAAGAAAGGAGAACACTGAAGGAATATGGACAAGGAATGAAGGAAAATAGAACAGAATGGAATAGTGGAAGGAAAGAAGAAGGAAGGAATGAAGATGGAATGGAACACAAATAGAATGAAGGAAGAAATGGATGAATGTACGAACACACACACACAGGACACAGGAAGAACACACACAACACATGGCCAGGAAGACAGAAGAACACACACAGACGAACACAACACACAGAACGGACAGGAAGAACAAATGGACACACATGGAACACACACACACAGAACACAGGAATGGAAGGAACAGAGTGGAACGGACGAAAAGGAAATGGAACACAGGACCAACACACACACACACAATGGAATGGACACATGGAGGGAACACACACACAAATGGAATATGGACAAACAGGTAGGAAGAAATGGAGTGGAAATAGACACGAAGGACACATGGACACATGGAATAGCCCACAGACACATGGAACACAAGAATGGAACGAAATATGTACGGGGAAAATGGACCACACGAGCACAGTGTGGACACACCGGACACACGTGGAACGACCATGGAACTGCACAGACACACAAAGGAAGGAAGAAACAAGAATGAAGCATGAACGGAAAAATAAGGAAAGCACAGCAGGAACAGGAAGAAAGAGTGGAATGGTGGACACAGTAGAAAGAAAGGAAGGGAGACACAGTAGAAAATAATGGAAGAATGAAGACAGGAAAGAAAGAAAGAATGAAAGAAATGGAATGGATACAGGGTGATTACAATGTGAAAAGAGGAACGCAGGCACAGCAAATGAACGGCACACAGAAACACACAGAAAGCAGCCGAGAACACACACACAGGACACACACACATGGAACGAAGGACACACAGAAATAGACACAGCACAGCAGTGGAAGTGGACAACAGAAGGAGAATGTAGCATAATGGAATGGAAGTGGTGGACAAACATGGCAGAAAGAAATGGAATGGACACAGTAGAAGAACACGAAAGACACGAATAGATAACAGAAAGAAAAGAACGGAAAGGACAGGAGCCTTACTGGACAGAAATGAAGAACATTTGAAATGGAGGACGGATGGACAAGGAGATGGACACACTGTTTTAAATGAAAAAGATGGATGGAATGGATGGAATATGGAGGTGGAGCTGGAATGGAGACAGGAAGGACAAACAACATGGACAAGGAACAAGGAAGGAACATGAAAGGAATAGAATGAGACAGCGGAAAGTGGACAGAGACACCACACAGTATATCCTTGTTAAATATGTATCTTATGAAAGAAGGATGAATGGAATGGATGGGAGGAAGGAATGGAAGGAATGAAGAAATGGAGCGGACAAACAACAGAATGGACCATGGATAGAGACTTGAAATGAAGGGACCCCATTCATATGTATAATAGTCTTGAGGAAAGCAGGGACCAAATGGAACAGTGGATGAAAGAAGGATGGAATGGAAGGAAATGAACCTTTAAAGACGATGGAAGATGTTGGTGAGAGTCTGAGTCCTGAAAATGGACACCTATGGAGATGAAATGCAGTGGAATTGAGTATGGGGAGAATGGACAATGGAATGGAGGGAAGAAGGGAATGGAATGGAATGGATGGACACAGAAAGGAAGGAATGGAAATATCTGATTATGGATTGGATCACACACGCGGACCAGACGGGGATGTTCTACAGGATGGACAAGTTAAGGAAGGGGATTCAGTGGATGTGGAATCCAGTGGACAGACACGTCTTGGTTTCAATTCGAGTTCTTTAATGACTGACTCTACTTTTAGTTTCCAACCTGGAAAATCAAATTACAAACAGAAATTGTGGCCTGGGGTCGAAATCGAATGCATCGCCAACAATTACCAGTCAATCCTTTATTATTAAACTATGTATCGTTGAATACCTTGTATTACCAACGTTTGTTATGCAAGGAACAAGTCTCTATCCTGAAACATGTCTGGACTGGGCGAATTGGCTAATGATAGAAAACTTCACATCAAATCTCCATAATATTGAGCCTAACAGTCACAAAGCCCGGCTGGAGGAGGAGATTTGAGGACATTGATTGTGGAGACAGACTCAGTACTCGTGCCATGAAAGAGGAGAGGAATTCCGACTTTAAGATATTGAATTTGAATCTGAGAGAGAGAAGGAAAACCAAATGAAATCTCCTCAGTACCTTCAAACGTGCGTGGTTTGATCTTTCCGCTATGGTTAGACTTGTTGCGTTCTCTGGAACATAATGCTGAAATGATTTTCTTTCTGAAAAGGTGACTGACAACCGAAATGGGCGCCAAATACAATAATAATATCAGGTAATCGGAGGGAACACTTGAACTGGATTTGATCCGTGCCCTTCTTCCTTCAAAAGATTCACTGGAAGCCAAGCCAACCGTGAATGTCGGCAAGTGTGAATTGGTTACAGGCCCAGTGTACAGTTTGTAGGTCATGCCATAGGCCATGTCCAGGTGCCGCCAGTACAAGCGAAGGTGGAATCTATTTCAAAGGCCCTAGGGTCCCAAAGCAAAAAAGGAGTTGTCCGGGAATGACTGGTTACTACTGTAAAGTTTGTCAACATGTCTGACTTTGTCGCAGCCCCTCTGACTAATTTGTTTGGACAAAAGAGTGAAATGTCTTTGCCAGGCAGGGTTTGAAAAGTCTAATGACATTCTTCAAATTCTGGCATTTTGAGAAACTCTTTACATGTATTCATATATACAAGTGGCATTGGTCCTGGAGCCGACCTACGCCGTGTGGTGAGACAAACGTAGGCTTTCAACATCCCGTTTGTTAAATGTTCAAGGAAATTGTACAAACGTCAAGAAAATTTGGTTTAAAAATAGAAGCTCTTGCTTTGTTAGTTGTGGCCAGCAAATTCCAAGTGTACCCTTGGTACTTCTTTTACTTCCTTTTTCAAGTGGACTCGCTGGAAAGCCGGTATTTGTAGTGGGTTGATTCATCAAACATGATTTAAAGTCGACGGTACATACCGCTGATACATTCTTCACGAGCTGGTTGAGGGCGTAAACATTATATCATAGTTACGCAATGGCCGTTTCTATCATGACACGATGGCTGAAGGCACTGCTTCACATCACTCTTCTGAAACATATATATGCATATCTAAATAATGCCTCTCAGAAGCTTTACCATATATAATTTAATTGATTTTAAAAATACGTATTTAGATTACAATATTAAATCAAGCGTCTGAAATCGAATTAATGAAACGTTGCATTAAACTGACCATCGTGCCCTCAACCGCCAGAACATTATTTCAAGCGAACCACAAAAGAGTTATGGTCCCTTTGGATAGCTCTTTACGGTAACATCCGGATAACACCTTTTGGACATAGAACTGTTCCTGATGTGTAAAAAAAAAAAAAAAACATACGCCAACTTTGTGACAAAGTCCACCGCAAACATAGTACGTATGCAGTGCCCTGAGTTCAAAACCCATCCTTATGAAATGTCTTCGAGTTCACTATGCATTTATTTTTACTCGACTTTCACCAGTTTCGGCTTTAAACAATGAATCGTATGCACACTCGAAACGGAAACATAACGAACCATTTTCATAGCAGTTTTAAGCTTGTCAGAATATGTTTCAATTGATTTTAAAGTCGAGAGGCAGACGCCATTTTGTGTACATGTCAGTATAGTCGGTATGAATTTATAGATTCTCAAAATGAAACAAACGAATATTTTGCGCATTCCAACAGTGCGGTAAGATAAATACGTTGTAACTTTCATTTGAATGCGATTGATGAATGATACGCCTTTTGTGGTGCAGTCACACCTCGCTTACTCACTCGCGACACGGCTACAAAACGTGCACATCAGCCCGTAATACCCTCGAGAGAAGCTTACGCTGCTATATGCAAATCTTAGATCAGCGGCATATTTAGAAAGACTTTGAAATCTGCTATACTCCACCGCTGATGCAGTGAACATAATAGAAAGCAGTGATATTTTGGCAAAGTTACGAGTTTAGATTTTCGAAGCTTCACCGCCAATATAGTCGGGCGTTAATGTCGGTTGTGATGGCACTTAATGATACCCGTAGCGCCAAAGAGCTTCGAAAGTCTGGGCCCAGAAGACCAGCACTGTGTGTGATGATCACCATACCCGACATATTATCTGACAGAACTGGATTATTGCATAAAGAGGTGCTAAATTACCACCTCGGTCTTTATTGCTATAATGACTTGTAGTATATGAACTTTGGTTCGATTTGTGGTGATTGTGAACATCGTAAATGTTAGAATGCAATTGTTGCATGCCCAGAAGCACATTATATTCTGTTTGTTTTCGTTTCACCCCAGTTCTTGCTATGGACTGGTTCCCGCACATCTACATTTCAAATTTTGGAATCAACACGTATAAACACACGAAGGAATATTAAAATACCTATTTCTTCAGAATTATTTCTCTGGCATGCAACGCTTCACCAGCCCCCAGAACCAGTGAGAGGAAGCACAGCATGCTTCTACCTGCGGAAATGCACGGTCCAATTCACTTGGAATTCTTCAACGGCACCGAAAGACATAAATAACAGTTTGAAGTGAATTCATAGACGACGCTTCCGCCAGAGAAAACGCATTTCATCTTCCAAGCGGAATATGCAAGATATGGGCCCTGGATTCTCCTCCCGATGACGCCAAAGTTAAATAATAGACATGGATTGAAACTGTAGACAAAGAATACTTGGGAAGGAGAATGAATCTGCTTTTAAGCCTTAAGGCGACAGTGTTTTATTGGAATATGTAACAAATCGTAGATTGTAATGCAAAAGGCGAGCCAGGGCTTTCACGGGATGTTGTAAACGATGCGGGTGACGCTTTAGAAGCCATCTACCATATTCATCTAACATTTCGCCAAACAGCTGCCGCTTTAAATCAAAACGTAATTCGATCGTTAAAAGAGCAGCAATCTCTACCGTCTTGTTTAGATCGTAAAAGCATCCAGCCACGAAAATGCCAATACTTCCATTAAAACGTCGATTTTACGGGATGTTGGCAAAATGGCGAAGGTTGCGGTGTGTACATTCTCCAGGCGGCATCGATCGCTGCGGTCGTGATGTAGGAGTATTAACTGGTTCATGACAGCTAAGGGGACAGAAAAATACGGCATGTTTCCGATAACAACAATCAAAACAAATAGGTCTCTTCAAATGTTGCCAGCTTCAGCGCTAGAAAAGCCAGTTGGACTCCATGGCGAGTGGATGATGCACCTAATCCAACAGCAGCCAGTGAGGCTACTCCATCTCATTGAGGCAATAGATGATGAACAGAGGCATTGTGTCTAATAAACGTGGAGGTGGGTTAATGATGTCGACCCAGGAGCGCATAAGCCAATCGACTGGTTTGACGTCTGGTCGGTAGGGTATGGATATAACCTTCCCGGTTTACATCAGTCAGTCATCCACAAGGGACCGACCAGTAGCTTGTTGTTCATTCCCAATGTTGAGTTATGGGCATCCATCTATCCATCAAACACCATCCCCCGGCGACCGCTGCAGGACAGAAACACTCTGCATTGAAGATGGGCATGGTGGGCGAGCTGCTCTAAGGCGCCAGGCTAGTGATCCAGCGAGCTTAGGTGCCTGGATCGAGAGCCCACCTGTGACCGGGTGTAAAACCTTGAGAGTCAACTTTGTGTGCAGACTCTTTCAGTGTTGTCACAACCCCTAGTGTGCAGAACACAAACCCTGTGCGCCAAAGAACCCACTCATCCGACGGTAGGTGACTAGATGGTGGACACACGAACACGTACAGACACCTATATGAGTCTGTTTGCAGAGAAAAACGTACCGATGAATTTCACTTTAAGCCAAATAAGTTAAATCGAATAAATTGAAATTAAGATTGCGAATCCTCGCTAATTTTTACGTAGCCAATTGAACATTTAACTCTCAGAATTTTATTCAACTTAGGATTAAAGTTGTTTAACTAACGATCATAATTTCAAATCGCTTTATTTGTTTGTATTACAAGGTATGCACATTAAATGAAACCCCGATAACAAGTAGGGTTGGTCTAAGTTAGTCGCCTTCATCACGTACCGCAAGTGCATTTCGTTTCAACTGTTCCAACTACTGCGCCATTACCCCATTGTAGCAATACAAACCAATAATAACGATTTCAATCTATGATCGTTTGTTAAACCTTTATCCTAAGTTAAAAATCAAAATTCTGAGACTTCTAAATTTCCAATTGGCAAGGTAAAACCATGAGGACCTCACAACCTTGATTTCAACTTTATTTGGCTTAGTTTTTGTTTTAAAATGAAATTCATCGGTACGTGCCACCGCAAACAGACTATAGTTGCGGAGTATTGTGACGTGCAATATCATTGGACAACAAACTGTTACTATGTGTCCCAGGCCACCCAGCTACATTTGGGTACCAGTATGAGAGGGATGAGTCTGTGTGATAACTCAGGCAGCATGAGGCATGGTGAATACTCCCCAGGGAGTTGAGTAGGTTAAGATTAAATGAATGCCAGAAAAGAAGATCCGTTGATCAAGGGAACACACCAGCGCCTTGAGCATGTACTGGATTCGCGGATATGTGCGCTATATAAATATCCTATAATAGTAATAAACACTTGGGACTGGCCATCGTTATGCCGGGGAGTCGCTATCAACACTTTGGCAAACATCGACAGTTTGCTTCCTTTATGCCTTATTGAAAATTCAAAAGCAGTGGTCGGTTCATATATTTCCCCAAATTTAAAGTAATATACTCGTAAAGGATACGGTAATGGGGATGATATTATATCCCCACACGCAGCCACTGGAAGCAATCACTGGAGCCCATTAGGCCTCATTTCCGTTCACCGTTATTCTACGTGTAACTGTCTCTCTCCGTCAAATGTTTGGGTCCTGACAATGAACTCCACTTTTACTTTCTATTTATCCGAATTGAAACTTCTTATCATGTAGACACGTTAATGCCGTAAACTGAAGGGGCAGAAAGTTAAACATTCTGGAATATATAAACACATTTTAAATGCAAATATATTTGCAGTTAGCGTCACTTTCTCCAGTGTAGTGATAATTTCCCCACGAGCCTGCAATTGAGAGGCAAAATCGCATTTAGTAAGGATTTCCGCATGGTGTTTTTAGGGAAACAAGCGACTGGATATATGGGGAGGGGTACCTCCTCCTCCTAACCTTTGTCGCACAATATTAATTCAGCTCCAGTCTTGGAGGAGCACAAATGTCGCTAGCAACAGATGTCAGCTGCACGTTGCTGTTTCTTTACGTATTCTGTAATACACGCATGAGAAGGCGTCATGTACACTTTAAAGAGAGGCGAGTGTTTTCCTGTATTGATGTATTGGAAAATACGTATGCAACTTGACTTTTGTACCAGTCCTACTGAACTTCTAATCTGTCCTAGTAGAGTATCAATAGCTAGCACCAGGTAACCTCTTATGTCCTCTCGCTAGTCTTAGTTCCAAGGATGTCCAAGTCCATGTACGTATAGTAATTCCTATCCTTAAAAGGCACATCTAGATTAGTGGACAGTACAGGACCGGTCGGTTGAGGGACATCACTGTATCACCGGACGATATGATATATGTAGTACCATCTGATGTAAAGAGTGGATTTCAGATTGGCGGCTTCAGAAGCTCTTTTGACACAACTCCGGTTTGGAATCTTCTAAAACACATTATTGCTATAAGCTCTGCTATGGTATGTCATATAATCGCCATTAAAATTCGCACAGTTAGGTAACTGCGTAATCGGGTCTTCTTTACTTGCATCACATTGTAATTGTTTGCAGTAATTTGTACTGACTTTGTAACACGGTTTCGCCCATAATACAGTCGTTAAGCTATAGTACTGTTGTTTCTGGCATTACACTTCGATCTTCTGTGACGTATATATAGAGAATACCACACGAGGTCTCATTATTACGAATTATACGAAACGAGTGGTCCTTCCTATGGTATCTGACCGAGCGAAAGCGAGGTCGGATAAACATAGGAGCGTCGCAAGCATCGGCAATTGCAAGTGTCATAAGTCTGGGTGAACAACTGCCTGTACATATATATAGTAGGAGTGAAACTCGGAACTTCTGTGTACACCATACAGCGATGTAAACATGTAGGAGGTGAAACTCGGAACTTCTGTACACCATACAGCGATGTAAACATGTAGGAGGTGAAACTCGGAACTTCTGTACACCATACAGCGATGTAAACATGTAGGAGGTGAAACTCGGAACTTCTGTACACCATACAGCGATGTAAACATGTAGGAGGAAAGAAAACTCGGAACTTCTGGGTGTACACCATGGCAGCGATGTAAACATGTAGGAGGGGAAACTCGGAACTTCTGTACACCATACTGCGATGTAAATACGAACATGAGCCTTCAGGTAGTGTTGGATGTGTTTATAACACTGACGTGCTGTGAAGCATTTACAACAGAGCTATGCTTCCCGTCAGTCTTCAGGACTCTTATGACATTCCGGGCAAGACGTCCAGTTTTGATGGCATCCCGTTATGTTCCGACTTCTTTCCCACTGTGCTTTGAACAACAATTACCCTGTGTCTTCACTTTGTGTGTATTATTCAGGGATGGTGAAGGGGGGGGGGGACAACTTCGAATCCCATCACTGATGAATGTCCTCAAATGTCCACCTATGCATTTATCAGCTTGCATTGAAGTCAATAGTTTCTAGTATCTGCATTATTATAGATAGGATGAGTTCCGTTTGTTTTTGCCAAGAGTATGGTGAGCCAGCAGTGTCATTCATCATTCTTGACTGGTCATTGGAAGTATACTGTATTCCTTTGTAGCAAGGCAAGAATTCGCTATTGATCCTGTGAAGTATTAGAATGTTTCACTTGTAAGACCACTTCCTGTTTCCATAAACACAACCTGGTTGTGATTTACGATACCAGGTTCTTGCCTTGACATGATATGAGGACATTAAGAATGACGGGTTTTTTGTTTCGGGAAGGATTATGATTTATTGTCTTCCAGATGGGACCGACACAGTTGTGAACGTTGTGGGCGACTGCCTGGTAAACAACCGGGCTCTGCTGTGGTCATGCTTGGAATCGTACACTCGACTCCACTCTTCTCGAGATATATTTTGCATATGGATAGGATTTTGTGGCTTAGATTTTTACTCTTCATGAAAACAAGGGATACTCGGAAAAACCTTGACAGGCACAAGTTTCTAGCAACATTTCGTATGATTAAAACAGACTATATAGAGTGGACACAGTAGAGTAGAGAACATGGCCGCCATCCTTCTTGAGGGGCGAGAACGGTGAGACGGGAAATTTCAAGTGAGCGTTTAGGGATCAGAAATGCAAAATACAGTCACCATCTGCCATTAATTATCACGACAAGGTATACTCCGCATGAGTCTCCCAATGGAGACGAAGGAATCTGTCCCGCTCCTCTTGTAAAGCCTGGCAACGTTTAGACTACGTTGACGACGGCCTATAACGTTGATGCTCACGTCTCCCTATCATTTTCTCGTCTCACTGCTGACCGTGACATTCTATGATGTTGTGCTGATGGACGTGAGCAGTGACGCCCGTTTGTTTGGTGTCGCCCTGTACGACCAGGAGACGTGGGAGGCCGGCTACCATCCTGGAGTATACCTGGGCCAAAACGGCCTTTTCTTCATATGATCTGTGAGCGTATACGATGATCACCTACCCGGTCCCTCATCTGTCATCGCTGACGTCAGTGAGCAACTTTTTAGGTTTGTCTCGCTGAAACAAGAGAACTGGAAATAGATTTTATAGAAAACAAATCACTTAATCTAGATACATTTATCATCTTTAGCAGTAATCCTATCTCAGCTCACACAGAAAGTTGCCACAACGTTATTTTACCCTCTCTGTCAAGGTTCTTGCAACATGTGACAACATGAGAATCTAGTATTTAACGCCGTGTAAGCCATCACGTTATGGCATATCATGGTCACCATTTCATAGTATTAGGGTGACAAATACATATGAATTTAGATGAATTTTCCGGCAAATGTTCGATGTCGGTTGTACAGAACCTTAGCCCTAGGAAGCACGGTGGTGTGTGGCACAGCCGTTGTCAGCTTGCTATGAGGCCGTGTTATTCTCTGTGGAACCGTGTTGTTTGACCAGCATGTCAGGGAGATTAAGAGGGTTCCAGAACAGAAACTTCTTGAAGCTATGTGGGTGAGTGTGTGCGTAATATCTGTGTGTGTGGTGTATATATATGTATGATATATAGGGGGTACATTTGTCGTGGTCATCTCACACCTCACATGAAGAACATCAAGTGCTGTGTTGGAAACTTGGCAGCTGTTGAAGCTATGTGATTATTATCATCATTGCTTTTGCTAGAATCACAGTTTTTTAGATTTTATTTATACCGCTACTCTTCTACTGTAACTGTAATTCTTCTGCTGTGATTCGTGCTGATTATTAGACTACGTTAATATTTTAACACTATTGTCAACTATATCACAATTTATATATTCTTTGTTTGTTCCAAGTACGTACAGATGTGGGTTGAACCTACTGTTTCAGTGTGGACCCCGACAGCTGGCAGCCATATTGTACCCAGGACTGACCTCCCTTCAGGTCCCAGGTATTAACAAGACGTGACGTCGGGACTGGGTATTGACAAAACGTGAAGTCTGGCCTGGGTATTGGGAAGACGTAAAGTCTGGCCTTGGTATTGGGAAGACGTGAAGTCTGACCTGGGTACTCAGAAGACGTGAAGTCTGACCTGGGTTTTCGGAAGACGTGAAGTCTGACCTAGGGACTGACAAGACGTGAAGTCTGGCCTAGGTACTGACAAGGCGTGAAGTCTGGCCTGGGTATTGACAAGACGTGAAGTCTGGCCTGGGCATTGACAAGACGTGAAGTCTGACCTGGCTATTGACAAGACGTGAAGACTGGCCTAGGTATTGACAGGACGTGATGTCTGGCCTGGATATTGGGAAGACGTGAAGTCTGGCCTGGGTATTGAGAAGACGTGAAGTCTGGCCAGTTGTATTACGCTGACGTGAAGTCTAGCCTGGGTATTGGCAAGACGTGAAGTCTAGCCTGGGTACTGACAAGGCGTGAAGTCTGGCCTGGGTATTGGGAAGACGTGAAGTCTGGCATGGGTATTGGGAAGACGTGAAGTCTGACCTGGGTATTGGGAAGACGTGATGTCTGGCCTGGGTATTGGGAAGACGTGAAGTCTGACCTGGGTATTAGGAAGACGTGTAGTCTGACCTGGGTATTGGGAAGACGTGTAGTCTGACCTGGGTATTGGGAAGACGTGACGTCTGGCCTGGGTATTGGGAAGACGTGATGTCTAACCTGGCTATTGGGAAGACGTGAAGTCTGACCTGGGTATTGGGAAGACGTGATGTCTGGCCGGGGTATTGGGAAGACGTGAAGTCTGACCTGGGTATTAGAAAGACGTGTAGTCTGACCTGGGTATTGACAAGACGTGATGTCTGACCTGGGTACTGACAAGACGTGAAGTCTGGCCTGGGTACTGACAAGACGTGTACTCTGACCTGGGTACTGACAAGACGTGAAGTCTGGCCTGGGTATTTGGAAGATGTGAATTCTGGCCTGGGTATTGAGAAGACGTGAAGTCTGACCTGGGTATTGACAAGACGTGAAGCCTGGCCTGGGTACTGACAAGACGTTGAGTCTAGCCTGGGTATTGGGAAGACGTGAAGCCTGGCCGGGGTATTGGGAAGACATGAAGTCTGGCCTGGGTATTGGGAAGACGTGAAGGCTGGCCTGGATATTGGGAAGACGTGAAGTCTGACCTGGGTACTGACAAGACGTGAAGTCTGGCCTGGGTATTGGGAAGAGGTGAAGTCTGGCCTTGGTATTGGGAAGACGTGAAGTCTAGCCTGGGTATTGGGAAGACGTGAAGTCTTGCCTGGTTACTGGGAAGACGTGAAGTCTGACCTGGGTATTGACAAGAAGTGAAGTCTGGCCTGGGTATTGACAAGAAGTGAAGTCTGGCCTGGGTATTGACAAGACGTGAAGTCTGGCCTGGGTATTGGGAAGACGTGATGTCTGGCCTGGGTATTGGGAAGACGTGAAGTCTGGCCTGGGTATTGACAAGAAGTGAAGTCTGGCCTGGGTATTGGGAAGACGTGAAGTCTGGCCTGGGTATTGGGAAGATGTGAAATCTGGCCTTGGTATTGGGAAGACGTGAAGTCTGGCCTGGTTATTGAGAAGACGTGAAGCCTGGCCTGGGTACTGGGAAGACGTGAAGTGTGGCCTGGGTACCGGGAAGACGTGAAGCCTGGCCTGGGTACTGGGAAGACGTGAAGTCTGGCCTGTATAATAAGTACGCCCAACTTCCAACTACTGAACAATGATTAAATTCATAAAACCGCTTCCAGCAAGCGCAAATAGAAATGAACTGTCCAAATTGGATTAGTCTAGAAAGCGTAAAGCACTTTTTGGCCCATCGTTCCAATATCTGTATCGATCTAGGATGATGAATAAGGATGCGACTTTGGCAAAACTCGGCGTTTACCAAACTATTGCACCGTCTAACATATTTCCACGAATGTCAAAATGAAGGTCTTGAGGTGGCTCGAATGTCGGAGTTGCTACTCGAGGTCGACCAGATCACGAACTGATGGAAGCAGTTCAGCTAGTTGTAACCATAACAACGTAATATTTCGCTCCTATAGTCACAGGTAGCTGTTCCACTCATAACCATGACAACGCAACATAGTGTCTCAGTAGTCACAGGCAGTTGACCCACTCATATCCATGACAACGCAACATTGTATACCTGTAGTCACAAGCAGCTGTCCCTTTCTTATAGCAGAAATACTATTGTACGGTGATCGTCCACAGGCCACCTTAGTATAGCAGAAATACTATTGTACGGTGATTGTCCACAGGCCACCTTAGTATAGCAGAAATACTATTGTACGGTGATTGTCCACAGGCCACCTTAGTATAACAGAAACACTATTGTACGGTGATCGTCCACAGGCCACCTTAGTATAAAGCAGAAATGGCTATTGTACGGTGATCGTCCACAGGCTTGCACCTTAGTATAGCAAAAATACTATTGTACGGTGATCGTCCACGGGCCACCCTTAGTATAGCAGAAATACTATTGTACGGTGATCGTCCCACAGGCCACCTTAGTATAAGAAATACTATTGTACGGTGATTGTCCACAAGAGCCACCTTAGTATAGCAGAAATACTATTGTACGGTGATTGTCACCAGGCCACCTTAGTAGTATAACAGAAATATTGTTACGGTGATCGTGTCCGCTGACGCCACCTTTAGTATAGCAGAAATACTATTGTACGGTGATCGTCCACAGGCCACCTTAGTATAGCAGAAATATTCTATTGTACGGTGATCATGCACAGGCCATAGTATAGTATAGCAGAAATACTATTGTACGGTGATCGTCCACGGGCCAATCTTAGAGTATAGCAGAAATACTATTGTACGGTGATCGTCCACGGGCCACCTTAGTATAAAGCAGAAATACTATTGCACGGTGTCGGCAAATAAACCAACACTACTGTGATTGGTTGGTGCTCCTCCTGGTAAGAGCAGGACATGCTTCATCATCTCTGGACACCTGGACCCGAGGTTATAAAACTTTCCTGAGTACGATTTCATGCTCAAATCCGGTTTCGTGCTCAACTCCAGAACTCGAACTCGGTAAACGGAGGTTATTAAATAACATTATCATTTTACTGAGGACTTCAACGTTGCAAAGTGTTTTACAGATTGAAATGATCCTTCTGTGTAATTTTACTAAGGTAAGTTTTTGTAAGTGAACTGTAACTAATGAAGATAAGCATTACATGATATTCATCTTCGGTGTAAAAATTCCTTATTCAATTTACCAGGTATAAAATTGTCAGCTAATGAAGATGAATAGGTTCCGATCCCAACATAGATACAATGTGTAGTGCTGATTGCTTGGGTAGCCTCTGTTCACTTAGAGTATAACATTTTACAATATATTCAGTTTCTACAATCAAACCAAAATTGAGGAATTAGATAAATCACTCCAACCATTATTGCTGAAAGTTGTCCTACAAAGTCTCTGCTTCAACAAGGATATAAAATTATTTTAACGTTTCCATCTGCCTGATATCCATACAAGTCCAAGTCCATACCTAATAAAATGGCTAACTATTCTCCGAACGTTCGTAGCCCTAGAGACTAGCCTTTAAACCCATTCTTAACACACTAGGCTACGATCAAAGTTTAGAATTCTTAGGGATACGAGTATTTTCGAGGAATAAGGGCCTATTCTTTATGTGTGACCCAATGAGACCTTTTATCAGTATTAAGTGACTTTAGGATCTCATAACACTGGAAAGATAGTCTTCAGTGATATAAATGAAAAAGTCAATATTTAATAGTTGTAGTCATATATCTCTCTTAATTCCAGTACTGAAGAGGCCACAGGCCTATAGTACAAAGTATTATAACAATAATGGTATACAATCACACTGTTTGCAGATGTTGTCTTCTATGTTCAAAAGCATAGTGGATATATACTAGCCACATAAAGAAACTGTGCACACAGAAAATTCTTTCAGAATTGGAACACAACACAGAAAAGACGAAATGATGTAGACACTTTATAAGCTGAAGTATCGGACCACAAGAAAATGTGGAAAGAGCAAGAACAATATCCGTAACGATGACGTCAGAAGTTCAAAATCGAGTACGGTGCGTCACACGACAAAGTCACCAAAGTCAATAACAGAATATGACCACCATGTGCGTGAATAACAGCAGTGCATCGACGACACTTATATAGGCTACTGAATGAGCATTGAAGGCCTGGGAATGGTCTTGAACGTGGTCACCGCCGTCTTGAACTTGTGTCTGAATTTGTTCCACCCAGAATCCATCTGTCCTGTCTTGGCGTCGTTACGTCGGGGACGCCCATACAAAGTGATGGTCGGCGACGTCATTTTAGTGTTTCCATAACGCCTGACCAATGCAGAATATCGTGTTACGATGGCACGTGGAAATGTGCTACCACCTGTTGTTGGCTCATTCCTGCTCGAACCATTCCATTGGCTTCTTCATGACGTTGACAGATGTTAATCTTAGCACGGTGTGCATGTGACTTCTCGCCATGTAATTTGTACTACATTTGAATGACCAAAGATCAAAACTTTCGACAGTGACAAAGCAATTTCTGAGTTTCACTTGTTGTAGTTAGCAGCGCGTGCTGCACGCAAATGTGCAGTAACACAATGCAAGTCCATAGGCCACTATTAAAGGAACGTCACGTCGCCTGACACGTCGATCGAGCATGAGCTTGTTGTCTCAATACTTGCTCTGTTCACACCTTTATTTATGTATAAAGAATTGCTGTGTGCCTATATCTACATTTTCTGTATTACTACAGATTTATTTATGTAGCCAGTATACACATACCAAGTTTGCGAATACAAGTTGTAATACTGGTCTCATTAACAAATTAAAACTACACCGTGGGAGATGAATAGTAATATTGTGGTAGATCTCTCCTTAAATCAAACTGTAAAGTATTGGGACATACCAAGCAAACAATTGCGAACTCATCTCTCAATTACATTTAGTGCAGTACCGGCACAAATTTGCGTCATTTCTCTTGGAATATTATAAATATCTGCCCTTCCTCGATCCATAAGGATCATGTGAAGAGCATACTAAATCCTGGATAATGAAACGAGGGAGTTTTCTGAGAGTTCATATATCGTGGAAGTATTGCTTTGTATTTTAAAGGCAGGTTAAAAGCACTGTAAAAAGTGGATTTGGGCGACTGTATTAAACATGAATTCCAAGTCTGACACGAATTTATACTTTCTTGGATCCTTTGCGAGAAAGCTGGTCATAAAATGACTCCTGGGCAGGTATATGTATATACAGGCATAAGTGGGATTCACCTTTCAAGATGGTCATTTCTCATAAAGGCGTGGTGCAGTGGCACCTGTTTGATAAACCATAATAATTTTTAGTCTGTATGAGTATTGACGTATATATCCAGTTAAAGGACAAAGGCCCGTTCGCCAATCAGCAGCATCTAATGTTATCTAGAGCTGTACTCGCGGAGGCAATGCAATGGTGAGCATCACTTAGCCTAACATTTCAAGCAAATGCATTGTCCAAAACAGGACATATATAGGAGGCAGACACCCTGGCCACCACCATGAGGTTTCCATGAGTATTGGAATTTAAATTGATAACAATGTAAAGATGATGAATGATCTGCGCACTTAATAACATCCTATCTACTTGACCCAAAAGAGAGGCATTACAATGCTCTTACTACCCTATTCTGAGGAAATGCACTCCTGTCAAAATGTTATTGAAAGAAGAACTGACAGCGCACTGAAACCAAGATGTTACAATACTTAGTAGATCTTAATGAATTTCTTTTTGTGAATACTGTTTCGAATTAATGGTTAGGCTGAAAAAATACAACAATTTTACATCTTCTTGACAAAGGAAATAGTTCCTTACTTTTCCAATTCTAAAAAAATCTGCTTAAAATCCGAGCGACAAAAAACTTGAGTAAATTTTTGATGTACATTATCAGTTTTATTGACAGTGTTCCAATGACTCCAATTCCGCATCTGGATCTTAAGTTGATGGTGAGAATTGATTTACTTACATGCAGCAACTGAATTTCTGATTCTAATTTCTTTTGATTTTTTTCTAACATTTTTGAATTTCCGATTTTGCAGATTCTTTTGCCTCCAAGTTTGATCCCTTTAGTGTCCTCTATAATTGTTTTTCATATGTTGCCTCAGCCTTGATTTCTTTCATAGCTTCCGGCTTTTTTTTATACTACTATGCAAGCATAATGAGAACAGACATTATCGATATGTTGAATTAAAGTTACTCATCTAGCAATGTATCCTTACACTGTTCTGGTTAGGGTGCGAGAAACTTGAGATTGATATTCCATGCAACATATGAAACCTGCATTTTATCATTGCACCATTATTATGGTAACCAAACTGCAGCATTCCTGGAGACGTAACATAGAAAGCAGATGTTTGGGATTACACCTTCTTTCTTTGGAAAGTACAGAATTCTAGTACTTATTGTGGTTGGAGTCCTATCCACCAGGATTCAGACCCGCACCCTCAGAGTCAGGCACCTGTCTGCCAGCACACACAATGCAGTGACAGAGCGGTCTAGGCAGCTGACTTTGTATGCTGGCATGATTGGAAGCTCCGACTCTGAGGGTGTGGGATAGAATTCTGGATGAGACCTAATCAAAGCGTATAAGTCTGTATACTTCACTTACAAAGAAAGTGTAATCCCTATCT